GATGCTTTTGAAGTGTAGTGTTGGAGAGGACTCTTGAGAGTCCCTTGGACTGCAAGGAAATCCAACCAGTCCATCCTAAAGGAAATCAGACCTGGGGGTTCATTGGAAGGACTGATGCTGAAGCTAAAGCTCCAATACTTTGGGCACCTGATTTGAGGAACTGACTCATTTGAAAAGACCCTGATGCTGGGAAATATTTAAGGCGGGAGGAGAAGGGGATGACAGAGGATGAGATGGTTGGATGGCATCACCGACTCAAGGGACATGAGTTTGAGTAAGCTCTGAGAGTTGGTGATGAACAGGGAGGCCTGGCATGCTGCAGTCTAGGAGGTCACAAAGAGTTGGTCACGACTGATAGACTGAACTAAATTGAACTGAACATATTTTGAAAATTCTTAGCAATATTTTTTAGGTTCTCTTTTTGCTTCATTCTCTCTCCACTCTCCTTCCACAATTACCATTGTAGCCATGCTAGATTTTTACTGTTTTTGTTATTTTCCTTATGACTCTTAATCTCTTTTTTCTATATTCCATATTTTTGTTTCTTCATTCTTTTAGTTTTTCCTAAATTATCTTTCAGTTCCAGTAATTGTCTGTTTAGCTATGTTTTGATTATTAATAATCTCATCCATTAATTTCTTAGTTTGGGTTGTAGTACTTTTTAATTCTAGAATTTCCATTTGGTTAAGTCTTATTTCCATTTCTCTGCCAAAATATCAACCTTGTCTTTAATTATCATTTTATTATGAGGTAGCTATTTTAAAGTCATGTGCCTCTAGTTATTGTGTATTACCTCTTTTATTTTTTCAATCACATTATCTGTCTCCTTGAGACAAGATTTTTTTTTGGGGGGGGACAAGTTTATTTTTTATGGATGTGCATTTTATATGGGAAAAAAACAGAATGCTTAAGGCCTAGGATGAAATGTTTTTTGAGAGAATTTTTCTTTATTTTTAGCAGTCAGCTAGATTAAGAGCTATAACAATTCCAGAGCACCTTAACTAAGGTATTTCTAAGGATTGAGAGGATTTGACTCTGTCTTCTGCCCTTTTTCTGTCATCTTCTTGGTAGACACTATATTCCAATTTTCACCCCTCTTTCCCTTAAAGGCTCTGCTAAGCTTTGAAGTCTTTCATTTCCCTTTGCAGTCTCAGAATGAGGAAAGTGTTCCTATAGAAAAACATCACTGGATTACCTCCTTTCTCCCAGTCTTGGCCCCATATCTTTGGCTCCCTGAGGATTTCAAGCAAGTATTTTTTATCTTTGTCCAGCTTTTCTAGTTGTTCTCAGGAGGCTTTTTCTTATTACCTAGCCTACCACCAACAAAAGTGGAATTCCCCCCAAATAACTTTTAAATATAACTTGGGAAACTTCCAAATGTATTGCATGGTGATTGTGTTAGTTATAAGATTCTGCATTAGCCACATTGCAGTGCTGAAAAAATACAATTTTTGCCCTATGGGACAGAGACAATAAATATTCACTTGCCCTTTAATTTCCATGAATACAACATCTGTCTCTTTTGATGGGTATACAGACACCTAAAATATAACCTAATTTTTCAAGTCTTTCTCAGAGGTAGGTGTGCTTGAGTAGTGTTTAGTCAATGGGATGTATGTGTGATTTCCAGGCAGTGTCCTGAAAGGAAAGGACACACACTTTTCCATTTCTTCTCCCATGCTACTATCCAGAATGGAGACGCAATGGCTGGAGCCCCTTTCAGCCGCCGTGGACACTGGAGCGACCTTGGCAGTGGAAGCCCCTCAGGACAACACAGAAGAATGAGAGGAGCCTGGCTCTGTGTCCCTGCAGGCCCTCGGGCCAATGTTCAGTTGACCGCTTCGGGACTTCTGGGATGTTGCCGAGCAGTAAAGACCTGTCTTACTTAAACCTCTCTTGCTTTCTGTAACCTGTGCCTAAAATGCCCCCAGGGAGGTTATCTCCATGCATTAATTAAAAGAATAGCTAACAAAAGTGGGACTTGGTGATTACCAAATAAGTGACATTAAATCATAAGTAATATTAAAACTCACAGGAGGTAATTAGGGGCCTGTGAGTTACTTGAAGTTTTAGTGAGAGATGAAGAATTTCAGCTTTACCTTGAATGAGGGGTAAGATTTACATATGCAAAAAAGAGGGAATGAAGCAATGAGCAGATTAAAGACATATTTATGACCAGGTAGCTGAACACACTGGTAGAACAAGCAGCAGGATTCCAGTTGAGGACCAGTGGGGGAATGTGGCTGGAAGACTTGGTTGGTGTGTGATTGAACAGGCCCTTGAAAACAAGGCAAAATGACTGGATTCTATTTGCTGAAAACTTACAAAGAATGAACCTGATAAATATTTAATTATTCTGATAATTGAAGTCCTATAATTGAGTGGGTAGCCTTTCCCTTCTGCAAGGGATCTTCCTAACCCAGGAATCGAACCCAGGTCTCCCACATTGCAGGTGGATTCTTTACCAGCTGAGCCACAAGGGAATCCTGAGAACACTGGAGTGGGTAGCCTATCCCTTCTCCAGCGGATCTTCCTGACCCAGGAATAGAACCAGGGTCTCCTGCATTGCAGGCAGATTCTTTACCAACTGAGCTATCAGAGAATACCCTACAAAGAATGATAAATATGTAATTATTCTGATAATTGAAGTCATCCAAGGACTAGTCCAAGCCATGAGTTGCCACCTGAATCACCTTATTCTGGTGTGCTCTGCTTTAACACACTTGTCAAGAGTTTGAGAACTGAGATGGAGGATTTCCAGATCATGCTGTGGAAAACCACTCAAAAAATCCTCAGAACTGGAAAACAACAAGGAAAGCAGTCAGTGGAATCTTTGCCATTGGGGAGTCAGAAACCAAACCAAAGTGTTTGATGCAGAGGAAAATTATGATGATTTAAACATTTTTTTCTACCCTTCCAACAGGTTTTATCATTACATTGCCAGATGGGAAAAGTATTCGTTACAAAAGTTCACATTTTTTCCAAGAAGGAAACTTCATGAAGGGAAACCTGACTTGAGAGATGCAGGCAGAAAATGTTTTGCTTATAAATTTTACTTTGAAGCATAATCTCCCATTACTAGAGGTAACTGTGAAAACGGGGCCAGAAGAAAGCCAGCTCTCCATATAAAATATGCTGAAACTTATCCACAGAAAAGTTTTTTGCAGACACTTAAAAAAATTGAGTAGGAAAAAGTGGAATGTTTGTTGTCATAAAAAATATGAAAAAAGGCTGGTATGTGTGAAATGGCCTATTTTGGAAATTATCACCACAGAGACAATGCTATCATCTCAACTAATTCGCTTTTCCTCTTTCTCATCCGTGACTGCCTTATGGCTGGTTATACACACAGACCTGCAGGGTTTGTGTGTCCTGGTATTTGTGTGAAGGAACCGAACAGACACAACAGTTATTTTCATGGAATTTTTGACAAGTATACAAAAATATGAAAATGCTCACTTGGGTGATGAAGTGAATGTAATTTTGAACTTTGTTATGTAAAGCACTGCATTTGTAGGTAAACATGAATACCCCATCTTAAATTTACTGTCAACTTCTTCAGTAACTCCAGCCAAAGTAACTTGAGACAGAGCCCATTTCCACCAGAACCCTTCCCTTCTCTTACTCCAGAGTTTAACTGAGCATGCAGCTGCCGGGAGAGCCTGCGCACCCAGCTGGGGCTGTTGGAGGGCCACTGGCTGGTGCAAGTGAGCAGAGGTGAGGCAGACACCTGATCCTGGGGGGCTTCATCCGCCCCGCCCCACCACAGGGGCAGCTAGTCCAGCGGCTGCAGGAACAAAGGCTCCAGGCTTCCCCCTCTGAGCCCCGCCTCACTTAACTGCCATTTGTCCTTCCGGACTCTGGGGCCCTGGGAGCTTACTGTGTGGGTGGGAGCAGGACTCCCCCCCACCCCTCATGGAAGGAGGCCCTGGGCTTAACGCAGAGCCCACCCTCCAGAAGCTGTAGCCTTTTCCCTAGATACATGGGAGTTTCCAGGGTTATAACCGGGGAGAGCCTGGAGACCGAAATGCAGAGGAGGGCTAAATCAGGCCTCACATAGTAGAAAATGGCTTCAGTTACTAAGAGTGCTAATTTTAGTTATTTTCATAATCATTTTTTTCAATTGTAAGTACCTGCTATGCTCTAGGTCAGTGGTCCCCAACATTTTTGGCACCAGGAACTGGTTTTGAGGAAGACAATTTTTCCACACACTGGGTTGGTAGGGGTGGCTCTAGGATGGTTTAAGGCCATTGCACTTATTATGCACTTTATTTCTGTTAGTATTACATCAGCTCCAACTCAGATCATCAGGCATTAGGTCCCAGAGGTTGGGGGCTGCTGTTCTAGGTCTGATGTTGAACACTGAATATAAAAAGATGATTTCTCTACAAATCTGACCTCAAAACAGTAATGAAGATGGTTCATTCCAAGGAAAGAACAGTTCAAGGAGAGGACTGATCTAGTCTGTCTTGGGTGGGGTGAGCTCATGGACTCCTTCTCAGATTGTAGGCCTTAGTATATAGATTTCGAAGGATGAGGAGGTGTTTGCTTGGCAGGCGAGGAGCCCATTCCTGTTGTGTAAGTTGTGAATCCTGGGCTCAGCTAAGACTGAGGCTCAGAGAAAGGCAGGGTCCTCCCATGTGGCGCTGAGTTTGGATTTTACCGTGCAGGTGATTAAAGCTGCTGTAGGATTTAAGTGGAGGAGAGCGAGAACAAGAGATTTGCTTTGGGAAAAGCACATCCAGAGTGGGGGTGGCTTAGAACCTGAAAACCAGGCAGGGAGCTCTGCTCTCAGAGTCCAGGGAGACGAGTCGAGGGTCCCTGTGGCAAGGCTGAGACCACGAGGGCAGAGAGGCGGGACTGGCAGCCCTTGTGCGTGATGGGAGACGGGCTGGGCAGGATGGGGTCCTGGTGCCCAGAACGCAGGTGAGGACTCGGCCTTGGATGAGCTGGGGCTGAGACATCCCAGGGAGGATCAGTAACGCCGGGTGCCCGGCCAGCTGGTCCCTACAGCCTCCGCTGTGAGCGCTCCGCGTCCTTCAGCGTCACAGCCCTGCCCCACCCGCTGCTCTTACACCCCGACTTCAGCTCAGAACCGAGGTGGGCGTGGGTCCTCACAGAACTGCAACCTGAACTCGGGCTCTGAGGTCGGTCTCGTCCTTGATCGGCACACACGTCACCTCTGCCGAGCAGCGGAGGGTTCAGTCTGCCGCCCCATGAGAAGTCTGAACTGCGGCGCAGAACTGGTGTGAAGAGCTGACTCACTGGGAAAGACCCTGATGCTGGGAAAGATGGAGGGCGGGAGGAGAAGGGGACGACAGAGGATGGGATGGTTGGATGGCATCACAGACTCAATGGGCATGAGTTTGAACAAACTCTGGGAGATGGTGAAGGACAGGGAGGCCTGGTGTGCTGCAGGCCATGGGGTTGCAAAGACTCAGACACGATAACAACTGAACAACAATAACAATAGGCGATTAACATTGTTGTGGTAGCTTCAGGTGAGCATCAAAGGGACTTAGCCATACACATATATGTATCCAGCCTCCCTCAAACCCCGCTCCCATCCAGGCTGGCACATAACATTGAGTAGAGCTCCATGTGCTACACAACGGGTCCTTGTTGGTTATCCATTTTAAATATAGCAATGTGTACATGACCTTCCCAAACTTTCTAACTGTCACTTCCCCTCGGCAATCATAAGTTCATTTTCTAAGTCTTTGCGACTTTCTGTTTTATAAGTAAGTTCATCTGTATCATTTTTTTTAGACTTGGTATACAAGGGATGTCAGACAACATTTCTCCTCTATCTGACTTATTTCACTCAGTATGACATTCTCTGGGTCCATCCATGCTGCTGCAAATGAAACTGTTTCATCCTTGTTAATGGCTGAGTAATACTCGATCATATATATACACCACATCTTCTTTATCCAGTCCTCTGTTGATGGACATCTCGGTGGCTTCCATGCCTTGGCTACTGTAAACAGTGCTGTGATGAACATTTGGGTGCAGGTACCCTTTTGGATCATGTTTTTCTCCAGATAGATGCCCAGGAGTTGAATTATAGGGTCATATGGTAGCTCCACTTTTAGCTTTTTAAGGACTCTCTATACTGTTCTGTGGCCATGTCACCCTGACTTAATTCTCACAAACACACAGCATCATGAGAGACAGCGCAGGGAGAGCCCATGCAAGACCAACTCCCTGGGAAATGCTGAGTGCAAACTCATTGAGAACTTATCTGGCATTTGGCAGCACAGCTCAGCAAAGCAACAGGAAAGCTTTGAAGATAAGGGAGCTTGTTCCATGCGCAGAACATCTGCTGAGGCTGACATGTCACCAAGGTGTCTATCTTAAGAGCATGAGAAAGGGCAGATAAGGAAAGGGGAAGACAGAACAGTCCCCTTGAGAAAGTAGCAGCTTTTATATTCCCACACCATTCTCCAGAGTGGCTGTACCAATGTGCGTTCTCACCAACCGTGTGGGAGGGTTTCCTTCTCTCCATACCCTCTCCAGCATTTGTTGTTTGTGGATTTTTTTGATGATAGCCCTTCTGACCGGTGTGAGGTGATATCTCAGTGTAGTTTTGTTCTGCATTTCTCTAACAACTAGCAAGGTTGAACTTCTTTCCATGCGCCTATTGGCCATCTGTATGTTCTTTTGGAGAAAAGTTTTATTCAGGTCTTCTGCCTATTTTTCTCTATCTACCAAGGTCTATATCCTGACTTCATTTTAAAGCTAGTTTTGCTGAACTATTTTTAGTTTCCACACTTTGAATGTGTCATTTTGCCTCCTCTGGCCTCGACTGTTTCTGAAGAGATGTTAGCAGCATCTGAATGTTTTAGGGTGAGTAGACTTTCTCAAGCTGCTTTCAAGTTTGAGGTTGTCTTGGGCTGCCAATATTTTGGTTGTGATATAGCTACATGTGAATTTCTTGGTTTTTATCCTTTCTTTTCCTTTAATTTTTCTGATGGGTAGATCAATATTTTTGATCATGTTTGGGAAGTTGTCATTATCTCTCTGAACACTTATCTCACTTTCTTTCTCTTCTCCTCTATTGGTTCCACTGCACATTTGCTATGCGCCTGATCAAGCCTCAAATCTCTCTTCATCCCCTCTCTGCATGATCGCTCCTGGTCTTCCTTCTGCCAGCGCAGACCTACTGGTGAGCCTCTAGGGACATTCTCATTTGGTTATTATCATTTTCATCACCAACATTTTCACTTTATTCTTTACAATGATTTCTCTTGAACCATATTCTCTATTTAATGAGACATTGTCATCCTGCTTGAGTTTCTTAGGCAGGGTTCCATTTGGTGCTTTGAACATCTTTATTGCAGCTGCATTGAAGTCTCTGTCTATACTCTGGGCCCCTCAGAGGCAGTTTCTCTTGCCTGCTTTTCTTCTCTTGCCCTGTGTATGGACCACACTTTCCCATTCGTTGCACATCTCAAAATTTTTGGTTGAAAACAGGATTTCAGATAATCTATTGTAGCAACTCTGAATACTGACTCACCTCTGGTGGGGTTTGCTTGGCTGTTTGTCTTGTTCTTGGCTGAACCAGTCCTCTAAACTCCGTCTCCCCACCAGCTTGCCCCCGGACATCGAGTGCAACCACTAGTATCTCCAACCAGATTTCCGCCATCTTCTAGTCAGGCTACGGAAGTTTCACCTCTGGGTCAGCCCAGGTCACTTTTTGGCCGATGGCTGTGTTTAAGTCAGTGACACTTTCCACCCTTTAACACGTTGCATGACTGGGGCTTGGAGGCAGCCAATGCAGTTCACTAAGTTCACCTCCTCTGTCTCCTGTTCATCCAGAGAGCAGCAGCCTGTGCTTTTCCTTGCTGACCTCTCCTGAGGGACACAGTGGGAGGCATGAACAGTCTTCCAGGCCACCAGGCCTGGCTTGCCATTCCTCACAGGCCCGGCTCCCTAGGAGTTACCCCGGGTCAGAGCAACTTAGTCAGTTTTGGTCACAAGACCCTCATCCCAGTGTGACTCCTGCCCTGGTGATGGTCCGTGTGTGGCCGGGAAACGCTTTCACGTCTGCTGCTCAGGACACGAGCCAGGCTCAGCCACATCCAGCCTCACCCCTTCCCTCCGAGTCATCTGAGAAGCTTCTGGCAGCTCTGCCGCCTTGCTCACACTGAGGCGCTACCAGCCCGGCGGTAGCTTCCCCCTGCCCAGACCCCCATAGTTACTGACTCCGCCTTTGACAAGGCCCTCCAGGCTCCTGTTCCCCGCGGGCGGGACTCCCCCACATCGTGCCCTGCCTTCCTCCAGCCCCGCTGTACCAGCGCAGGGGTGGAGAGCGGACTTCTCTTCCCACAGCAACACCCATGCTGTGCAAGTGGGAGCCTAGAGGGGAACGAGGGAGCTGGGGTGCGGACCCCGGGGTCAGCCTGCCGTGCCGGGGAAGCCTTCCCTCCTCCAGGTGGGAGCCAAGGGGCGGCGAGGCTTCTGTGACGTGGTGCAGGAGGAGGATGCCCAGTGAGGGCAGCTCTCCTCCCAGGGAGGAAAACACGGCGCCTGTGTGCTCGGCTGCACCTGCCAAGGATGCCGCCTCTGCAAGACAGACCTGGGGGCTGAGAGTGATCTGCCTGGTCATGGTTCAAGTGTCCTTATCTTAACATGGGAAGAAGCAGGCAGAGAAACTGTAAGTCACTCTGGCCAATGCCCTTTGAGGCTCAATCAGAAACCATGATAGTAAGTCATGACAGACACTTAAATCTCAACAATGAGTGTTCTTGCAGAGCTTTAGTAGACTAGTCTGTTTCCTCAGTGTCCTCACCAGGAGCTTCCCTGGCGGCTCAGACAGTAAAATCATCTGCTTGCAATGCTGGAGACCAGGGTTCAATCCCTGGGTCAGGAAGACCCCCTGGAGAAAAAAACAGCAACCCACTTCAGCACTGTTGCCTGGAAAATTCCATGGATGGAGGAAGCTCACAGGCTACAGTCCCTGGGGCCACAGAGTCAGACACGACTGAGCGATTTTGCTTTCACTTTTTATTAGTCTAGTAGTCCCAGTCTCCTCAATATCCTAAGCAGGAGAGAGTTGTGATGGACCTCGAGAGACGAGAGGGAACATGCAGGGCAGGGTGGGCTTCCCCTGGGGACACCCTGAGGCCGCAGGCAGTTCAGCCTGCACAGGTGTCCTGAGTAGCTCTGAGAAGAAAGGCTCAAGAGCCAGAAGTCATGATGACCTGCTCAGAATTGTGCCCATGACTGACTCCAATACATCAAGAGTCTCCTGCTTTCTTGGATGAAAAATCCACAGATGTTGTGAAGCCAGAATTTCTTCTGTCTGGAAAATAAAATCATAAATCCTGGCTGTGTGTCAGTCCACCCAAAGGAAGTTCAGAAGCACTGTCTTTGGCTTGGTGTGTAGTGGTTTCTGGCTTAGACGAGGCTTCCAGCAATCCACTGCTTTTCAGGGAAGATGGAAACCAGCAGGGACCAAGCCCCTTGCTCTGTTGATGAGGCCCAGGGAGGTGAAATAATTTGCTGTAATCCTCCAGACGTGCGGGCCAGTTCCAGCTCTCTTCATTTTATCTGACAGACAAAGAGCCAGAGGGCACAGCGTCCCACAAGCACAACTGGGCCGACAGGCCTAAAGCTGAGATAGCTGGCCTGCAGCAAAGACTGTGTCGGACTCAGCCGGGCTGGTAGGGAGGAAGTTTTCCAAGATCAGAGTGAAATCCTGAAGCTTAACACATGAGCAAGATTACCGTAGTTTCCTCTTCTGGCTTTAAGTTTTAAAACACACTGCTCTAGGTTATGGAGAAGGCAATGGCAACGCACTCCAGTACTGTTGCCTGGAAAATCCCATGGACAGAGAAGCCTGGTAGGCTGCAGTCCATGGGGTAGTGAAGAGTCAGGCACAACTCAGCGACTTCACTTTCACTTCTCACTTTCATGCATTGGAGAAGGAAATGGCAACCCACTCAAGTGTTCCTGCCTGGAGAATCCCAAGGACGGGGCAGCCTGGTGGGCTGCCGTCTATGGGGTCGCACAGAGTCGGACACGACTGAAGCCACTTAGCAGCAGTAGCAGCAGCTCTAGGTTAAAGCCTTGGAAGCTGGTATTAAACTGTGACCACCATTAAGAGCTTGATGTTGAAGAGTTTGTTGGACTGAAGCTTGTCCAGTTGAGGGATGTTTGGGAAAGGCTCAGCGTAAGGAAGATCCAGGCAGAAGTCCTGGAACAGGTGGGGAGGATGCAGGTGGGGAAACAGAGCAGGGCTATTAACAGAAGCTAGACCCCTGTCTGCAACTGCTGACTCCCGCCGGTCCTTGCTCTGTGCCTGGACCATTCTTACTTAGGCTTCATTTTATTTGACCTTCACAGCAGCCTATGTCAATGATATTATTACTGTCTTTCATTTTGCGCCCAGGACCGCTGCCTTGTACATGGCAACACACAGGAACTAGATAGTGTTGGATAAACTCAGATTATGTTCTGGGCCAAAAGGCATGCTCCACTCCATTGCCAAAGCAGGCAAATGCAATGATTCTCCCCAATGCCAACTCCTCAGACTATTGTCTCTCAGGGGAAAATCTTTATAAATGACTCTCAATGACACTGAAAGTCACAGCCAATGCCATAGGAAAGGCCATGTGCAAATCCATCTCCATCGCTAGAAAAATAGACTTAAGTACCAGGGTTAGCATCAGATCCTTGGTTTCATTTTAGAGGATGGAAGGGAGCTTTATGTGCTGCCTCTAAGTTTACCCCAGGACGTGACGATGTCAGTTTGGGAACAGGCGGCAGTGCCAACAGCTGCATCGCTGCAGTTTCCAGCCACACAGACATCTTTTGGAAACTGGCCTGAGAGATAAACTTGAGCAGTGGCTTGTACTTCTGGCCTTTGCCCTTGGTCCAGGTCCTGCCAGACCTCCTGCAGTGGGGGCCATGTTCTACACATGGCAGGTACACACAGTCTGAACTGAGTTCTGGTTGTAAGAGCAAACAGAAAAAAATTCTTTTTAATTTTCAAAATGTTTCCCTCTCCTGGAAGTAAATAAAACTTGAGGCTGGGAGAAGGTCTTCACTGAGTCCTAATGGTTTCACCTTGCTGTGGGAGTCACTGGAAACTCTGAGTGGAAGGGAGGCCCGGAGTGGGGAGAAGAGGCGGACACCCCATCGCCCCCCCCATAAGTGAGATGTCCAGGAAAGGACTGCATTTGCTCCAAACTCTCCTTCTTTTTTACATTAGGGGTAGAGAAATATTGCCTGAAATATCTGAGTAATTATCTCTACTTCATTTCAGTTTCAAACACCTAATCTGTGACTAAAGAAAAAGTGATGAAGAGAAAGGGGTCAATCTGGATGATCAGCTGGTGTCTGAACACAGGTGCATCGGAAGCGCTCCTGTGACCTCAGCGCCTCTCCCCGGATATGCCACCCCCTGCCCCCAGGCAACTCCGAGCCTCCACCTGGGACCTCAAGGCAGCCCCGGTGGCACAGGAGAACTGAAGGATGAAGGCCTTGGCGTTCATGCCCCTGGGACGGGGCAATTCTGGGGCACACCCCAGGTGTTCACCGCAATGATCTGCTTATTAATGACCTTCTCTTCCCCGTGTCTCCTCCCCATGACCCCATCAACTCCGGGGCCACCTCCTGAACAGACTGGCTGCTCAGAGTTAGCTGCAGTTATTTGTGACAGAGAGAAAAAGTTGTAATCTCCTCCTGATGGAACCAAGAAGGGTGTTGTTAAGAAACAGTGCCTGCTATTTTCTTCAAGGACTGTTCTTTGGGGGTTTTTTTAACCCAAAGCTTTTAGTTTTTTAAAAACTTATTTTTAATAGGAGGATAATTGTTCTACAATACTGTGCTGGCTTCTGCCATACAACAATGTGAATGAGCATGAGTACATATGCCCCTCCCTTTTGAGCCTCTCCCACCTTCGCGCCTCTAGGCTGTCACAGAGCACTTGAGTTCTGTGTCCATGGAGCAGCCTCCCGCCGGCTGTGTATTTCACACATGGGAGTGTGTAGATGTCAATGCTACTCTCACAGTGCGGCCCTCCCTCTCCTCCTGCCAGTCTGCGCTCTATGCCTGTGTCTCTATTCCTGCCCTACAAATAGCTTCATCAGTACCGACCATTTTTTGATTGACTTTTGTAGCATTTTCACTGTCAAAATGAAGCTTTGAGCTTCACTCAAAGCCATGTGAAGATATGAGTGTATAAAACATGCACATTTTTTAAAAATCCAGTTAACTGACTGAAAAGTGTTCCAAAAGTTAAATGTTAGAGTTCTCAGTCCTTCTCCAGGTGGCCTTGAGCGGACCCCATGGTCTGGGAGATGAAGCCACTTTTGTGTGGCAATAAAAATAAATCCCTGCTTCAAACTCATGGGGAAACATTGATGCACATAAATTGAGCGAATTTTAAGTACATGACTCAATGAATTTTATACACACACATCCTCCTGGATCCAACTACCAGATCAACACACAGAACCTTTCTGACACCCCCGACCCTCAAAGGATCTCGACTCTGACCTCTGTGACCACAGTGAGCATCGTCTGTTTTCACGCCTGGTGCCTCCAGGCTCATCCTTCTTGGACAGTCCTGGGTCTGCTTTCCTCCCCGTTTGTCACATCATGTATGTCAGTTCTCTTTGTTGCTGTAGATTATCCCAGGGCACAACAATAGCACAGGTTACCTATCTCTCCTATTACTGATGAATATGAGATTGCTTTTAATTTAGGGACGCTATTAAAAGACCGCCAAGAGTATTGTACATGTGCTGCAGTGGACACACACACACACACACACACACACACACACACATTCATCTCAGTGTCACCATGGATGGAGCCAGCGGGTTACCCACAGACGTAGGTCTGGTCTTCGGTAGCTACTCCAAATGGTTTTCCAAAGGGCTTGTACCAACTTACGCTCTTACCAACAAACAATGTGAGTTCCCTACCCCACCTCCTTGCTAAGACTTGGTTCTGTTGGTATTTTTAATTTCAGCCATTTCTTTGAGTATATAGAACTTTTCTTTGATAAATAATGATGAGTAAGTAATTTAATCACACTTCCATATGCTCATTAGCTACTTAGGTATCCTCTTTTGAAAGCAAGTGAAGAACACATGGTTTTAATTCTAAATAAAATAGTATTATATAACATTAAGCTGTTGTTCAGTCACTAAGTCAGGTCTGACTCTTTGTGACCCCATGGACTGTGGCAGGCCGGGCTTGCATGTCCTTTACCACCTCCCAGATTTTGCTCAAACTCATGTCCATCTTGTCTCAGATCACATCACGAAATTAAAAGCTGCTTGCTTCTTGGAAGAAACGCTATGACAAACTACACAGTGCATTAAAAAGCAGAAGCATCACTTTGCCAACAAAGATACGGTTTTTCCAGTAATCTAGGTTTGTCAAAGCTTTTCTTCTGAGGAGCAAGCATCTTTTAATTTCATGGCTGCAGTCACAGTCTGCATTGATTTTAAAGCCCAAGAAAATGAAATCTGACACCATTTCCACTTTTTCCCCACCTATTTGCCATGAAGTGTTGGGACTGGATGGCATGGTCTTAGTTTTTTGGATGTTGAGTTTTAAGCCAGTTTTTCCACTCTCCTCTTTCACCTTCAACAGACTCTTAGTTCCTCTTCACGTTCTGCCTTTAAAGTGGTATCATTATGCCTTCAACAAAAATGGTCTATGAAAAATAATAGATGTCAAACACATCTCATTTTCAAAAATTACCTGAAAGTTTCAAAAATGAATTTCCTTGCTCAAGAATGTCACCCTGAAAATTCTAAGGTAATGAGCTGACAATGAGCCATCCTGTGTTCAAATGGTCATAAATGCTGAACTGCTGAAACCTACCCTTGAGAGCTTGCTTGAAAACAAGCCCGGCCTGGTCTGACAGCACAGAGCCTCTGCCCCAGTCATCTGCGGTCCTGTCGGCGTGAGACTGTGGTGGATCACGTGGACGTGCTGGGCACAGGGTCTCTCTTGTGTAGGAGTTCACAGCCCAAGGCTACCGCACTTGACTTATAGACATGGGGCCTCAGATTCCCTCCCGCCTCACCTGTCTCTCAGAAAACAGCTTCTGTTCCAATTTCCAGTGCACCTTGCTGTCCAAACACAACCTCCCTGTGACCCAGCATATTCCCACGGTGACCTCTGGGACTGGTGCCAGGCCTGACATGGATTATCCCCTTGGTGAAGCAAAGAGAAATGAAGAGCAGGCTCCTGGCTGACATGAACCTGAGGGGCATGCATGATGGGCTGTAGAAAGGCCCATGCAAATCCAACTCCAGCAGCTTCTTCGGGGGGAAGCATCTTGGCCTCCCTCCTCTCTGCCCCAGGCAGCACCAGGTGAACCCATTCCTCCGGGCAAGACTCTCAGCACCACCCACCCCCCAGCTCAGGGACTTGAAGAGGCCGTGGGCAGGAGAGACCCCAAGAGAGACAGAGAGGCCGGACACTCGGGTGAGAAGCCGTGTTAGTGGTGGCTCCTCTGGCCTTAGCCAAGAGGGTCAGACAGCAGTCTTGTCCTTCCTGCATGTCTGACCCGGAGCCATGTGCAAGAGAAAACAGCTGTGTTAATGCCCTAACTTTTGTGGTAGTTTGTTACAGAGCAGTAAATAACCAGAACACGCTCTGGTGGGGTGGGGCACTGTCCACCCACGTGCTTTTCTGA